TGCCACTGCACTCCAGCCTGAGTGACAGAGTGAGACTCCAACTCAAAAAAAAAAAATAAATAAATAAATAAATAAATAAATAAAAATTTAAAAAAGCTTTAGGATCTAGAGTTAGGTAAAGTGATCTTATAGTCAACAACAAAAACGTGATTCAGAAAAGCAAAGTGATGAATTAGACTTCATCAAAATTAACAATACAGGTCAAAAGGCCCTGTGAGCCGGGCTCGGTGGCTCAGCCTGTAATCCTGCGCTTTGGGAGGCTGAGGTGAGTGAATTGCCTGAGCCTGAGGGTTCGAGACCCGCCTGGACAACTTGGTGAGACCTCATCTCTACAATAAATCAAAAATTAGCCGGGCGTGGTAGTGCGCGCCTGTAGTTTCAGCTACTCGGAAGGCTGAGGCAGAAGGATCGCCGGAGCCCAGCAGGTTGAGGCTGCGGTGGCCGGTAGTGGCCTCTGCACTCCAGTCTGGGCGACGGAGTGAGACTCCAACTCAAAAAATAAAAAATAAAAAAAAGGCCCTGTGAAGAGGATGAAAAGACTACAGGCTAGGAGAGCATATTTGCAAACCACATATCTGACAAAGGACTTGGATGTAGAAAATATAAAGAACTCTCAAAATGAAACAGTAAAATAACAAGGAGCCCAATTAGAACATGGGCAAAGACATGAGTAGACATTTCACTGAAAAGGATATGCAGATGGCAAATAAGCACATGAAAAGATATTCAATGGCATTAGCCATTAGGGAAATGCAAATTAAAACCACAAGGAGATATCTCCACACACCTTTCGGTATGGTTAAAATAAAAAATAGTGCCAACACCAAATGCTGGTGAGGAACTGGAAACTAGATGAATATAAAATGGTACAGCCACTCTGGAACACAGTATGACAGTTTCTAACAAAAATATGTGCTCACCATATGACCCACTAATTGTACTCTTGGGTATTTATCCCAGAGAAACAGAAACATATGTTCACACAAAAACTTGTATACAAATGTTCAAAGCAGCTTTACTTCTAATAGTCAAAAACTGGAAACAACCCAAATATACTTCAACAGGTAAATAGATTAAAAAAAAAAAAATCTGTGCTTCATCCATATTATGGAATACAACTTAGCAATAAAAAACTATTGATACACTCAACAATTTGGATGACTCTCAAGGGAATTATGCTGGGAAAGAACAGCCAATCTTAAAGAGTTATATATTATATAATGCCATTTATATAACATTCTCAAATGACAAAATTATAGAGATGGAGAACAGATCAGTGGTGGACAGGGATGGAGTGGAGAAAGGTAGGAGAAACTGTTCTGTACCTTGACTATAATAGTGTTTTCACGGATCTAACTTTTTTATTTTAAAGACATGGGCTACAATTCAGGGTTAGGTATACAAATGCTCATTATGCAGGTACGCTCCTTGCTGAGGTGTGCCCCACCCCTGCAGTTTCCCTCAACTGCCAATCCCACCCCCCGCCCCGACAGTTTCCCACTACTACCAATTGCTTTCTTATAGTATTATAATTGTTCAAGGTCTGCTTATGTTTACATGGATCTAAACATGTGATAAAATTGCATCAAACTAAACACACACACACACACACACACACACACACACACACACATGCAAAGGTGCATGTAAAACTAGTGAAATCTGAATAAAGTAGGTGGGTTGTTCCTGGTTGTGAAATTGTGCTATGGTTATACAAGAAGGGAATCAGGATCTCTCTGTATTAGTCGTTACACCTGCATAGCATCTATAATCATATTAAAATAGAAAGTCAAAACTGTGTTGGGGGTTATTGCCTTTCCATATCCATTTAGGTTGACGCAAGCAATATAAAGGTATCTCTACTTAATCCCACCATCTCATGGCTAGCATTTTGATGCCTAGGGAAGATTTCAGACAGAACACAAAATATGGAAACAAGGCAGGAAATCTCTCCCAGAGAGTTTTGACTGTGAGGGGCATGTAGCATCCTTCTCTAAGCTTCACTGGCATTTCAAGTGGGAAGCCTACATTCCCTGGGCTGGACTTGTGGATTGTCTTGGGGATGGCAACTGTGCTCAAACAATTAAGGAGTTTGGAGTACTAAATTAGACTAAGTATCACTCAAAGACAGAAACCAGCAACTGTGTGTTTTCATGCAGGGCTCAGTCACAGGGTCTTCATCCTATGGAATCTTCATCCTCAGTCACAGGGTCTTCATCCTTAGGAGCACACCCCATGAGGCTGAGACTGAGGGAGACTGAGCAATCCTGGCTGGAGGAGAATGGTGACTTTAGTATGGATAATTTGGACCAAAACCCGGAGTCAGGTACTTAATAAAGATTTACTCTTGACTAAATGTTCTACTTGACTTGGGCCATGATGGTCTCAATCTCCATCATTCAGAGTAATTGGCACAGTCTCAGGTACTTAACAGATACTTGTTGATGGATTGATAACAATGCCCAGACATTTCTTATTCTTACTATGTCTCAGGCACTGTGTTAAGCCTGCTACATGCCTTATTTATTCCACACAACCACCTCTGCAAGCAGGTACCATTATTGACCATATTTTACCATTGAAGAAAATCCAGAGATACCAAGTTTACTTGTTTGAGGTCACACAGTTGGTAAGTTTACTTGTTTTGGAGGTCACGCACTTGAACAAGTTGCCTCATCCCTGACCCGTGTGGCTTTATCTTCAATACAGTGTTGTCTCTGAGGATTCATGCAGGCAGAGGAAATGACCATGTAAAGGTGCATGGTTTTGGGGAAAGTGGCTCAG